ATTGTAATAAAAAATTATGAAAAAGCTGTATTAGGATATTTTGTTTACGAGTGGTTGTTACGAAAGCATAAGATTCATGTGTTTTGCAGCAAGGTAGTGTCTGCGCATTTGATGCATTTCGATGGCCTCCCAGGGTTAACTGCCTAAAAAAACCTAGCTAGGAACGGGGTGTATTCGCTGGAAATGGAGTAAAAGCGGGCGAATTTTCCAGCATTCGGAAATATACTGCAAATTCAGTAGGTATATTTTTTTGAAGCACTATCCCCCTCCGCCAGTCCACACAAACACACATGAACTGGATTTTCACGTAAGCGTTTTGTCGTGCCAGCGACCGATTTGTTGATTGGCTTTTGTGCTGTAGCTTTGTGATTTATATTCGCTTTATGGGAAGTGTGATGAGTTTTTGTTAACAATCTTCTTGTACACTGTTTTTTTTTTTTTCACGCATCGGTAAACCTTATTGCTGACGTTTTTGTGAAGAAAGCTACACTGATTTTAGCGATGACACAATGGCACAAGTCCCTTAGGTTGACATTCCTAAAAACACACACACAGATCCAGAAAATATAGCGGGCAAAGTGTAGCAGAAATTAGCTTGTAGACTGCATCTCAACACTAAAAATTATTCTTTGAGTAGCTTTTTTTCCCGGCTTTTTATACTGTGCTAAAGTGAACGAAGAATGCTTGGCGTACTTCTTGTGACCGTGCGAATTGTTAAATGTTTTGTTTGATAAGCAACGTATAGAATACAGTGCCACTATCATAAAATGAAAAGCAAATCCGACATCTACCATGATCAGGAACCACCATAAACTCCAACAAACAGCAATATTTATTTTTCATAACAGTGCGCTGTATGTTTGTGGAAAACTCACAATTCTTTTTTAATTCCTTCTGGTGCAACTTGGCAGAATACATACGTACAATGTTAAGAAGCCAGCAAAAAAAAAAAAGAAAACGATGCGGGAGATATATATATATTTGAACAATTCAAATCATCGCATACAACTTAATGGACCGAAACATCTTAATCTTAACTAAACTATTGCAGGTTTCAAACTTTAACACTTTCAACATACTTTACTCTTAGT